AAATATTCTAATTATAAGAAGTATATATGTGAGAAAATTAAATGAGTAAATTTTCTTTTCTTATATTTTATTTCTCTAAGGGCATCTCCAACCGAACGCTAAACGAGTGTATGGAGTCGTTCCGTCGCTCCAACCGAACGCAAAAATTTCCGCCATTTAATCGCAGGTGAACAGTGCGACGCCAATATTGGCGTCGCACTGTTCACCCACGCCATTTTTTGCTCTCAACCGGAAAAACGCGCGAAAGGGAGAGCGATCGTTACCTTCTCAAAAACACCTAAAATGGCGTTCGATTGGAGCATCACCGCGCCATTTTGAAGTTTTGCGTTACTTTGCAGTGAAAAATGAAGTTTTCGGTTGGAGATGCCCTAAGTGACGAATAGCTTAAATTATTCTAATTTGGATGTTTTTTTTTTTTTGGGAAAATAATTTGCATGCTATCATTGATGTTTTCGTAGCACCTTATCCTTCCGCGGCAATATTCCTCGATCCATTGCCTGCAAATCTGACCTCAACGCCCGATCACTTGCTTCAATGCAAGAACCTCATTCTTGCCGTCGAAACTAGCTCCAATCGGATACAATCTCTTCTTCGATCTGCATACGTAAATACCGTTGCTCAAGAGAGAGATTTCCACTAGCGGCTGCATTTCGGCCCAGCTCAACGCAAATCGCCACCAATTTCCTGCTCCGTCTCATATTCTAAGGAACTCTCGTCGGCGATCCCATATTTTCGCCGTCGCTCAGGAGATCCGGCCTGTTGGGCGTCTCGTGGCCAGAAGACTTTGCAATCCATCAAGATCTTCTTCCGGCAGCGCCAACTACACCTGCTGCTTCCTCCGCACATTATCAATCCCTTCTCCTTCCATACCGAACTTTATCCTCGTAACGTCCACCCACGACAGGTTTGGCGTGTGCCCTGAACTTAACACCGTCCAGAGCCACCGTTGATCCACGCCTAAGACGAATTCCTGTCGCTATTCTTCGTAAGAACACCTTTCATGCCGTCAAACAACTCCGATCCATTTAATATCCCAGCAAGAAGAGGCTTTAAGATCAAAGGTCTTCGTTGACGAGGTTCGCGATCGAGCCCTTTGTTATTTCCAAGACTTCAGATTCAACCGACAAATTACAACATTGGCTTCCCACCGATTATACCATAGTCAGCTGGATCAAAATAAGCTCATTTCTAATCCCTGTCGATCAGCAGCTCTTTTGTCTCGATTTCCACAGAAGTCCCAAGTCCGGCAAGACAGTCAAGACCCGCCCATTCTTTATTAATTCTTACCAAGACAGCACTTCCGTCCATGATCCAGCGATCACCGACAGCTTACTCCTTCAAAACTCAAATCCTGTGTCTCCTTGATGAACAAATCTGACTCTCCATCTCAGCCGTGTACGTGATGCATATGAAGAAAAAATTAGAATAAAAATTACATTCAAAATTAATAATAGAAGCAGAGCAATTCAAAAATATTATGATAAAATGAATAATAATTGCTAGGGTGTATGTAGATGGTTTGAAATTGTGCTACTACAAAGGGATGTTTTCTAAATGAACAACTAAATTCATAAAATTATTTCACGCAAAATGTTCTTCAATGCCTTAGCAACCCTTTTGAGATCATTGAACATGTTCTTGGAGATCTTATCTTTGATGAAAATCATAATATCACAAGGACATTTGCTAAAGAGATAATAGAGGTGTCAGATGTGCAAAGTAACCTTTGCACATGGTTGATCTTGATGGTCAACTTGTATGAATAATTGCTATGTTTCCAGTGGTCACTAAATTTATGGGCACCAAGGAGTACAGAAATTTTCATAAATATCTAATGGTCAAAATTTTCTTTTTCAACATCTTTGTTTTTCAATGCAGAAAGATCGATATGTTTGAGAGAATGTGGCAAAATGTAAGTCAACCTCGACCAGATCAACTAAGGGAAGTTAGACCTTGAGGATATGGTCACTATAAAAGAGGGAGTAATTATGTGAACCTAATTATAATTATTAATGATTAAATATAGTTAATTAATAGCCTAAGTAAGCCCGAAAAATATTATAAGCCTATAAATGCCTTAACTAGTTGTATGTGAGCATAATGAAATAAATAAGTTTTCCGAAATTTTATTTCCGTTTTCTTTTCTTTTCTTTTTTTTGGACTGCTGAATAATTTAAGATGTTTTAATCGCGATTTTGTATCCCATCAAATTTCTATGATGTTTATATTATTATTTATTGACAATGTTGGATTTATAAAAGACCGGATCTTTGATATTATTCATGTTCACGATACCAAGTGCATAAGAAAAAAAACTATGATGTGCTTTCAAATCATAATCTCAATATATAGTCAAGATATTTGAGGTCAATGATACAATGATGCAAGTAATGTGTGTGTTGAGTGAAATATATTACATGTTTTATCTATCAATGATTGACCTTTTTGTATAATCTACTTATTTATTTGACACCTAAATTCTAGTTTATAAAAATTTCACTTATTGTTTCTTATAGTCAATTTGGTTGGTTCTTCATATGAAATAGAAGATCAATAAAAAATTGGCACATTTTGAAATTGATGTTAGACTTAAATATTCAATTGAAGAGTTTTAAAAATAAAGTTAGTCAAAAGCTTTGGTTTTTTTAGAATCTCTCTATGATTTTTTTATCTATATCAAATATTAGCAAAAAATGTGAAATTTGATTATATATATGCTTATTGATTGATTACTTGGAATAGTCTTATCATAATTGAATAAGTATTTTGCACAATCAAGATTGTCAAGACAATGTTAAGAAATAAGATGGAACATAATTTTCATACAAGTTCATTGATAATATATATTAAGAAGGATATTGCTAAGACATTTGAGGTAGAACTAAGAATTAACAAATTTGATTTAATAAATAAGCATTATAGATAATTTAAGATTCCTAACCATAATGATTGGTTAAAAAAAGTTTTTTTTTTTAAAAAAAAACTTATAGGTTATTCATATTTCACTACGGGAAAACACGCGATTACCGGCGGAATTTCCGGCGGAAATAAATTCGTCACAAATTCCGACGGATTTTCCGGCGATTTTCCGACGGAAAATTTTCACCGAATTTCCGACATATTTCTCGATTCTCTTTCCGACGGATTTTTTTCGTATGCATTTCCGGCGGAATTTCCGGCACATTATTTTGCGCCGGAAGGCCTTTTTCGACGCGCATCAAACCGGCGGAAATATTTCCGTCGGAAATCCGTCGGAAATTAGCATTTCCGACGGATTTTGGACAATTTTCCGGCGAAAATGTCTGCCGGAAAATGAAGTTTTTCCTGTAGTGTTTCTAAACTTTTTGTCTTCTTTTATTAGTTTATATAATTGAACATATTTTGATTTTTTAAATTGATCTTTACTTTTGCCATCACTCTTTTTAAATCCTAGTTGCATCACTAATAACAGGATTTAGTAAGATTTGTATTTTATTTTTTCATGAGTAGTATTACATTGATAGAAATTAAAAAAAAAAAAGAAAAATGAAAAAAAAAAATAGATAGATAGATAATCAAATTCTAGAGCACTTGCAACTCTACAAAAATTGGCTAAATGAAGAAAATAAAGTTTTGAGATGATAAATAACAGGTTAGGCAATGTGTTATGTGAAATCAATCTCCATTTGATGTTATTGGAAGCAAATGAAATAAGTAGTAAGCTAAATGTACAAGAGCATTGGAAAACTCTATAAATTTAGTGGGGAAGAAGACTTACCTCATTTTATTGATTGCTTTCTCTAAGGGAGAGTATTGATAGAATTATAGGAATCTTAATGACTCATTCAACATCATGTAACTACTTAATTTGAACTAATTAATTACGAATTATCATGACCTATAATGACCCCTAACTCACTCATATACTACTCATTATAATCATAATCCTAACATGATCACTTGCCACTTCTAAACAATGTTGTGCTTAATATATATTGAAATACCAGCTAGAGAGACCAATAATTAAAGGAAAAAATGACGTGAGGATGTAGTCCTTAGAAGGGATCTAATGCTCACTACTGCTCAGAAGAGCATACAATAAAAAAAATAAAACCTATCAGTCAAATATTTCACCTAATTACAAGCAAAATAAAACCTAAAAAAAAGATTAGAAATGCCATGAGCCATCACCCAAAAAAGAATTGCAAAGATTTGTAATTTGAATAGGCAAGAGAAACTTTGCAAAAAAAAAAAAAAGAGTAAATAATCTACATAAAAGGAAACAAAAAAACAACAAAAGAAGAAATAAAAAATGAAGAATAAAAAAAGAGTGGAATGAACCACCCTCATATGCCTAAAAATAAAAGGCATCAGATCAACAGAAAAGGTACAGACGACCACTACAACGGCATAAAAGATCAATAATAATCATAATTGGAAGCAAAGCAAACAAATCAGCATTAGCTACCAGCTCATACAAAAGAAAAAAATGAGCTCCACATAAGGACCACATTTATTTGTCCATCAATTGATTAATGCTCTACATATTCCTTAAAAAAATATCTATTTTTTTTAAAAAAATAAATTTAATAGATCCTTACATAGTGTACTCAGATTCTCCTCAATTACCATCATAAATGCACCGATCCTAATCATCTAACCACATTGGATTGTACTAATCCTACCCTTTTTTTAACGAAAACACTTAAAAAAAAACAAATTGAAAACTCAGTTGACGTGATCCACCTGACTATGATCAAATAAATAAATAAAAATTTTTAAATATAAAATTATTTAAAAAAAAAATATAAACTTTATTCTTCTTGGCCATGGCCCACGTATACTTTAGAGCACTCGAGCATTGACCCAATATCCCAGCCACGTTCGCGTACGGTAACCTAATGGGAGCCACGCGGCCGAGGTTCCACTCTCATCAATCATTCATTGGATCAGTTTTCTCAGCTAAGCCATAGTTGTCGTGGGGGCCACTTATCATACATCACCATTCACAGCCAACCAAATTTCGCAAACCACGTTATTATTACTATTTAGAGAAAATACAGCCTATCACCCTAATTAAGCACCCTTCTCCCCCCTTCTTCTCCCTCTCTCTCAATCCCCTTTCCCACAGGGCATCAACCGTAACCATTCATTCCCATTTACAAAGCATTTCGTTACTATTGGGATCTAGCTGGAAACCTCCTCAAGAAGTTTGTATCTCCTGACCTTACCTCTGAAGGTCTGACGAACCCTTCCAGTCCCCGGAGACAGCTCCTGCTCCGTTGTCATTTTCTCCGACGAAGTCGCCGCTCGCTCCGGCACTCTCTGCTTCTTGACGGGCTTGCTCAGCTGAAGCGGAGGAGCTCCGCGCTGCAGTTTCCATCCCAAGGATCCGCTACCATTGCCCGATGGGCTGGAGCTGTTTTCGCTTGTTGTCGCCAACTGATCACGGGAGACCGCTTTGCCTCTCTCCTCCCTTAAGCACCAGTTACATGCCTTATATGTCTCTGTCTTCGGGTAGAGATCGCTGCAATATCTGGCGAAATAGCTCAAATAATTACACAAACATCGATCTGATTTTCTAGAATAACGAGTTTATTAAACCAGTATTCAAAGATTGGTAGATTTAAGAATACACGATGATTCATGTGAGATAGATTCAAAATAATTGAGATAGTTTGACCAGTGATGAAGACGAACAGAAGAATTGATCGACAAATCTAACTTACTTGTGTTGGGATCTGAAGAGGCAGACCTTGCATCGAAAAAGCTCTATAGAAAGACCTCGATCGCCGCACATGCAGCAAACTACCGACGGCGGCGGCGGGACAGCCTGTCCACCTCCGCTGCTCCCCATCTCATAAAAGTATATATGCAACTCGATCGCTGGGCGAAGAAAGTCCTGGATCCGCAAGAGATGGAGTGAAAGTTTCTGTTTTTATCAAGAACACTGAGGAAGAAAGAGAGGGAGATGGAGGGGATCGAAAGAGGGGAGAGAAAGAGTGAGTGAGGAGAAACCTCGCATATAGTTCTCTACAAGCGCGCTTTATGGTAGGAGTCCTTATCACTAGGTCGGTTGGGAAAAGCAAGACGACAAGAGGCGTTTCAAAGAAAAATAAAATAAAATTGAATGCCTGTAGAGGTGAGAAAGGAATGGAAGCTTAAATTTTGCGTTTAGTTAATTAATCAATTAAAGCTAAGAGAGGAACCCCACGCCACCTCACTCTATTATCTTAAAGTCTGGGTTGACGTGTGCAATATAAATGGGTAGGTTGACGTTGTTTACCTACGGCTTAATCCAGTTGGAATTTTAATAATAGTATTTATTAAAAATTAATGACGCTATTTTTGTCCGCTAATCAGGAATGTACGTACGTAGGTATCATATTGTATGTACGTACGTGTTACAAATATGATATAATATTCTTCCAATAATGGTCATTTGGCTTGCAAAATCCGCGCACACGTAGTTGATCGAAACTGAGAGTTGCGCTGGTGATCGATTACTATTGGCTTCACCTTTGTCTGCATGATCACTTGACTTTTATTGAGCTCTCCCTCTCTTTCTCTTTCTCTCTCTCTCGGCAATAGTTAGAACATGGATGTTGTAGGCTTGATTCACCTGGAACTTTTTTTTTTTGGAGGGTGGTGGTTAATTGTTAAATTTCTTTTATTTTTATGGGACGTGATATTTATGAAAAATTTTAAAATATGTAAATTATAATTTCATGTTAAAAGCATGCTAATGCCTTTATTTTTAATAATTGATGTGTTTCCAAATATCTATAACAATACATCATAGAGATTTAATAAATGTTAGCTGGATCTTGATGGAGTTAAGTTTATTGAAGTAAGGGAACATTCAAATATCTAAATGCAATCTAATGATGAAATTGATCTGTTTCTAACAAAAAAAAGACATGCATATGAGAATGAGATTTCTAATTTACCATATTTTAATTATTTAATGTGAGACTACTAAGCTGCTCTCATAAGTCTAAACACAAGGGTGTCAATATTTGACATGACCCAAAGACTAAGTCGTCCAAAATCAGATCCAAAAATTCTTGGTTAGGGTCAACCCATAAGGCAAATGGGTCGAGTTCAGGTTCCAAATTTTGAGGAGTACTTTGAAAAATTGGGCCAGGTTGGATATGATTCGAGTCAACCTGCTAACCCGAATTTGACTCGATTCCATGCACAGGCACAATCCCTTGGGTGAAACCGCTAAGGCACTAACTCGACATTCCTTCATGTTGGACCAGAAGTCACAAAGGCTCGCCTTAGGCTTTGAGTCTTCGACGAGACGACATAACATCTTCACGATAATGTTCATCATGTTCCTTTTGTTGGATCGATTGGAAATCAAGACATCTTTGATGACAACTTCTTGACATATTCACGATGGCGTATTTGATCTAAAGTATTATCGACATCTTTAACTAGCTAGACAAGTAGACTATGTCACAAGGACGTTCCCTCGATTGGATCGGAAGTCTCCCGCACACGATACACCCGATCTTGCTCATCCGCTCAGGCTGATAATGTGTCGATCTGTTGACGTTCATGTTGTTGTTTCGCATGAAGGCAACGAGCCTAGGGTGCTTTTCCTCTTCCTCCCACAACTCCCGTCCACGCACAGCGGCACTAGATGAGTTTGACAAATCGACGACGTAGGGCAATAAGGTTTGCTTTCCTGTTCTCCAGCTTTGACAAATGTTCCTTGCTGTTGAGCGTCAATGAATCATTACTCCTGTGGCTTTGACGAGATGAGTCGCCTCCTTCAACAATTCAACAGGGTTCCTCCCATTCATGCTCTTCTTCGACCAAATTCACATTTCGTGTCTGGTTGGGTCAACCCAGAAACTCAACGGTCAGGTCCCGGTTGAATTTTATGATCCATTTGTAAAATATGGGTCGGGTTTGGGTCAGGTCAAATAGTGTCAGATCAATTCCAGATTCGATCTGAACCCGACCTGCAACCCAATTTTGACACCCCTATCTAAATATAAGGTTTGAAGGAGATAGTCAAGCAACATTTCAATAAATGAAGAACCATTATGCCATTACAAAAAAATTATTAAAACAAAGCATGAGTACTTCCTTCAAAATAAGCATATAATAAAAGCAATTACAAAATTATCACCCTAAACGTTGAGGGATACTTCATATCAAATACTGCTAAAGAGTTATTTAATTTATAAATAATCTTTCATACTATACATAAATATAAGAGTACGTGTATATTTAGAAGAGACAAGGCTTATTCTCATTAATCTCTTGATTCAACAACGAAGTATATAAATTTAGACCCTCTCTCATTAGTAGAATATCTTATACGAGTATCAATCCACTTTGAATTATTGTGCTTAACTCCTTTAAAATTCAAATAATATAAAAATATTACACTATTAATCTCAATCATCTGATATAATTAAATTATTCAAATTAAATGATACTCATAATAATAATAATAAAAAGAATTCAAATCTTATCTATGATACAATAAATCTCAGTAGAAATGTGCCCTATGGCTTAATTATTGAGAATATTTGTTTCTTGTAGAAGCTAGCTAGCTAGCAAGGCCAGCTTTAGGGTTTTTTCAAAAAAGCGGCGACTCTCTCTATGAAACCTAGGGTTTTCTCGTCGAAGGGGGTTTCTCCCCCATCCCTCTGGCTCTGATGGATGGAACGATAGATGATTTTCCTCTCCTTTCAAAGGTTTCGATGCTTGGCCAGTAATCGACGGCTATTCCGACTCCCTGGATGGATAACTTCACTGCTTCTGAAACAAGATCTAAGGTTTTTCCAATGACTTTTGTCCCTCAAAAGTAAAAACTTTCTTTATCTATGGATGATCTCTCGGAATGTATATCTTTATGGAACTTAACTCTTGTTGACTATTCTATTGGTCAAAGATCGTATTACGAAAGGCTTTTAGCCTCCATGAACAAGCTATGGAAGTTAAAAGGATCTATGTCTCTTATCTCTCTTTTTAAAGGTTTTTTTCTTCTAAAATTTAATAATATAGAAGACTACAACTTGGTTTGGTCTGGAGGGCCTTGATTTCTTCTTGATAAACCATTTATTCTTCAACAATGGTCACCTAAATTTAAACCAAAAAGAGATGAATCTACTTCTATTCCTATTTGGATTAAGATTATGGATCTTCGTCTAGCTCTTTAGATGCCTTCGGGTATTTTCAAAATTGTGAGTTATATTGGAATCCCTCTTACAGTAGATAATCTTACTGCCAAACGCACTCGCCTCAGTTTTACCAGAATCTGCGTCCAAATTTCTAAAGATTCTAAACTTCTTGATGAAATCCTTATTGATATTGAAGGGGAGGAATATGTTCTAAAAGTTATTTATGATTGGAAACCGACTCCTTGTGATACATGCAGATCCCTGATTCATCCTTCTAACTGTTGTCCTTCTAATCCCACCCCTAACCAATCTTTGGCCATTAATACCCTTCCTAGGCATAGAGGAAGAAGTACCAGTAGGCAACAACGCTTGAAAAATCATTCAAACTCTAACCTACCACCGTTGCTACCTACACCTATAGTTGACCCTCTTAATCTGGTACCTGTTGTTGCTCCCCATACTGAAACAGCTATACTGCCACATACCATGCTCTTCTTATTGAAACTTACATTCCTCATGTCAATGTGGAAGATATTGTTCCACCTCTGCCGCTTAGTAACATAGGTATGAAGGGTAAGGATACCAATATTTCCAATCTCTACTTCCCTACTAAAGAGTTATCCTCTTTAGAACCTAATACTACTCTTTAATTTGGTTAACACTGGAAAGGAAATCATGCTAGCTAATAAGTTTAATTTGCTTGTCAAATAAAATACTAAGCTCAGTTAATTAATCAGGAGAATGAGATTGAGGAGGTCTCTTCAACACAACAAGGAGAGCTTCCTCAGGATACAATTTTTTCAAAGAATAATTCTCCTCTTCAAAATTCCCCCAATATTAATCAATCTCCTATACAGCCTCTGATTCCCCCACCAAATCAAAAGTCCTCTAAAGAAAAAAATGTCAAAAAGGCAAAACCCTCTTCTTCTAAATCAAGATGATTACTTCCTCTTTGGCTTGCTGGAAAGTCAGGGGGTTTAATAGCCCGGGTAAACACCCAGTTTGCAAAAATTTGATTTCTAAACATAAATTAAAGTTGTTTTGTATTCTAAAGGCAAAAGTTCATAACTCTTTGCTTGAGGATGCTTTGTTTATTAATTCTCATAAGCTTTATGAGAATGAAGGCTCCTGTAATAATTTTAATGTCTCTTCTCTGACTAAGATTTGGGTTAAATGGGATTATTCTCATATCTCATTTAACCCGACGATTATTTCTGATCAAATTATTCATGGGAAAATTACTTTATTCCCACACTCCTCTTTCTATCTTTCTATTATTTATGCTGGCTAATTCTCCAGAGGTTAGGAGATCTCTCTGGGATATTATTAATAATATTGCTATTGGCATGTCTCAACCTTGGATTTTGGTGGGTGATTTTAATTGTTGTAGGTATAAAAATGAAAAATTGGGGGTGCCTCCTTGCATCGTAGAATATTGGGGGATTTTAATAAAACTATTTTTGATTGTGGTCTTATTGACCTTTCCTCGGTTGGTCTTTTCTACACTTGGTTTAATCAACAGAAAAAAAATCTGATTCACTATAAGCTGGATAGAACTTTGGTTAACACTGAATGGTTGAATCTTTATCCTAAATCATATTATATTGTGGATGCTCCCCAATGTTCTGACAACTCTCTGCTTATTATTCACACTGATTCTATTCAGATTAAGGCCTCCATATTCCTTTTCAAAAATTATTGGCCTAAGATGGAGGGGTTCAGAGAAGTGGTGTTGGACTCTTTTCATAGTAATCCGGCTTCTAGTCCCAAAACTTCTTTTTACTCCAGTCTTCAATCTTTAAAGAGAGTGCTAAAAAGAAAAAAATGGAATTCTTCTAATTTTATTGCTGAGAGAATTAAGGATCTTAAAGCCAATCAAATGAATTT